GAGCCATTTTTGTGAAGCCTGTGTTGTGTTCTTGAGCGTTCTTAGTTTACTCATTATCCACTCTAAAAGAGAGTATTGTTCTTGAGTGTTTTTAGTGTTCTTAGACACTTGACAAGAGAAGGTATTTCTCTTGTTGTTCGAAGGAAGGGTTGTTTCCTTCGAAGGTTCGTTGAGGTTCGTGTGACTCGAATTCTCAAGTTGTACGGGTTTGTTAAGCACCGTTAAGCTTAACGAGATAGTAGTGTAGCTCGAGAGAGTCTCTCGGGAGGCTGGACTAGCCACACGTTGTTTTCTCTTTACTTCTCGAGATAGTAGACACTTGCCTCGTTCTTTTCTCTTTACTTCTCGCTTATTCATTTTTATTCCTGCGATTTCTTGATCAAACGCTATTCACCCCCCCTCTAGCGTTGGTCTATTATTCTAACAGAGGATTTCCAAGTCTTTCCGGAAACCTCCCCTGCTACTCCCCTGCAAGAACAGAACCAGGAAATATCAGAGGAAGAACTTCAGGAACTCCTCCAATCTCAAGTTCTAGAGATTCTCACAACCCCTTATGAGATCTCCATCCAAATCAACTGAACTTGAGATTACGGAGAAGTCAATTGAAAATCTGGAGAAGTCCACTCCTCCAGAAACAAATTAAGCTCTTCAGGAAGACTCAGCAGTTGAAGTCCAGAGAAGTTTTGCAGAAGCTGAAGGAGAAGTTCAAATAGCCAGACTGGAGGCCACTGAAACTCCAGTAGCTATCTTTGAGCAGCCAGTTGAAGATGAAGACAGAGATTCCCTCTCCAGGGATATCTCAAACTTTGTGAATGAAGAAACAAAGGAAGAGTCAATGAAGTCATTAAAAATTGATGAAGAAGAGGCTGAGCAAGGAGATGCTGAATCCCTCCCTCTGCAACTCTTCCACAGAGTACCTTCTTCAAAACAGGTAATAAACTTCCACTTTCACAGCTCTTCCACATCCACCCCTCCGGATGAGATTCCGGAAACCTGGACAAGAAAGGTCCAAGGGTTGATTGAATCAGCCCTAGAGTCCCAGCATGCCTCTTTTAGGCAAGAGATACAGCAGATGGAAGCAAGGCACAACAAATTGATGGAAAAATCTGAAGAAAAGTATTGCTCAAATCTCAATGAGATAAGCAAATCTGTAGACAAAACTCTAGAGATCATTTCTCTATTGAGTAAGTCTGTGAGCAATACAATGGAGGCTTATGCATCTGACTGCCATCTTCAATTCAAAGAAGTCACTGCAATCAAGCAACAGATTGCCACTGTCACAGTCAATCTTCAGAAGCAGATGTCTTTTCTCCAGATGGATATCAGATCAGCTTTGGCAGTGTCATCAGCAAACCAGGTGGTGACCCAAGACTACCTAAAGGTTCTTGCTCAAAATCAGAAAGAAGCATTCAAGCTCTTCAGGCACTTTGGTACCTACAATGGGAAACACAAGCTGGACGTAACAGTCCAACACAGAAGTCCATCCCAAATTCCAAAGTTTCCAATTGTAGTCAAACAAGGAGAACTCACATACATTCCATCACATCTGGACATGACGGATCTGATACTTGAAGCCCAGCAGAGCAATCCGGAGAACTCAATACAGCATCTGTCAAACACTGGTTTTGATGGATCAGAAGCTGTAGGAACCATTGCCTCTCACTTCACAAATGATTCCTAGACAAAGGAGAAATATAACAACCTCAAGCGCATCCAGGATGAATGTGGAGTCATGCAAGGCATTGGGGAGGCTGCCGGATCATCCAAGCGCAAAAAGAAGTGAAGGCTCTTTTCATCAAACCAGGGGGAAGTATTGAAAATATTATTTTGTTTTGATGAAAACACCCTTCTTGTTTTGATGAAAACACCCTTCTTGTTTAAAACTTTGCTTCATACATCTTTAAATTATGCTTGAACATATTTATTCTAAGTATAATATTTGGGATTTATCATTGAGCACATACATTCAGGGGAACTTAACTGTTTTTGGCTAACAATTGTTTTTGGTAATGAACCATTGATGAACTCTAAGCAATTGAAGATGGATACCTCAGTTTTAGTACTAAAGTTGGAGATCTCTGATTCAGGTACTCTACAAGATCTGTCTTCTAAACTGAGTTTTAATCCGTAGTTCAATTCCAACTTTGCTCTAAAGTACTGGTCCTTAGGATTTTTATAATGTACAGGACTTTGGAAAAATAGTACCACTTTTCTTTTAAAAGTGAATTTCATAATTTTTCTTTTGGTACTACCTCGTCCTAATTAGAAATTAGAACTATAGGGAATGAAAAATGATAGTTTTATTTTGGGCCTTGAGAACCCAATAGGAATAATTTCTCTTAGTGCATAGATTTTTTTTTGGGCCACTCTTTTGGGCTTAGCCAAGCCAGAACAGTTACGTTTTTCAAACCAAACGAAACTGATTTTTAATTGGAACAGTTTCAACACTTTGGTAACCGGTAAAAGACTCCTTCAACTTTTCAAAATTCAACTTATTGGAAGTTGAAACTCTTTACTCTCACCGTTCCAACTAACCACTAAATGGAACCCGTGAACCTCCCCTCTCTCAACCTCTCCTCCTATTTACACCAAGACATTCCAATCCATTCATATCACAAATAACTCTTCCAACATGAAAAGTTTTCAAACTCACTATCTGAGAAAAACACCAAGAAAAATATCCTAAATGGAGAAATTTTTCTTTCTCACCCTCATAGACGACAATGGAGAAAGCCTGGTGAGAAGAAAAGATATTTAAGATATTTGGTGGAAATCTCGGCAGTAGAGAAGATATTTGGTGGGAATCTCGCATATCTTTGCATCTCGCCATATATCTTCTCCGGAACAACACTCTCTCCATTTTCGTTTCTTCTAATTTTCTTTTAAAAATTTTCTTTTTCCTTTTCTATTTTTTGGTCTTCAAAATTCTATTTTTAATATTTTCTTTCTTTTCTTTTATTTATTTCAAATTGATTTTAGGTCTCCACTTCTCCTCCCTTTTCCCCTTTCCCTACCTCTTTTCAAACTATTTTTCAAATTTTCTTTTCTCTTGCAGCAATAAGGCAAATCTTTCTTTGTCTTATAGCTGTTAGGCAGGCTCTCTCTTCCCTGGCTTGTCTACTATTTTCTTCTGGTTTCCAACTTTTTGGTTTTCTTTTTCCCCTTCTTCTACTATTTTCAAAACCTTTTCTTCCCTAGTCACCATCTCTTTCTTTCTTTAAACTCTTTTTCAAAACCTTTTTTTTATCTTCCTTTTTACAATCTTTTCTCTTTCCCAAAACCTCCTGTTGCCCTTCTGTTTTTTTTCTTTCCTTTCACCAGCTCCTCCTTTCCTCCCATTTTTTTTATTTTTGTTTTTGCTTTTTGGAGAGATGTTGCTTCCTAGATCTCAGTGTCCATTTTGGATATTGGGATCCATCAAACACAATGCCATCTGAACTTCCAAGCAACATCCGCTGGAAATGAAAGCAGCAAATGGCAGAATTATCACAGATCTCAAGACAAGACTTGGTTTAGGAACTGTTGTAATTTGAATTGTACTTGTTTAAGAGTTTTTGTTAACAAGCTATATATTATGAGAAACTAAAAGAAAGTTATAAAATTAGTTCTCAGTACAGTGACCGGAACTCTTAAACACTTGTTTGTCATCATCAAAAAGGGGGAAATTGTTGGGAAAAATATTTTAGGTTTTGATGATGATGTATTTAGATTGTAATAGCGACTTTAGGTCATCCCCAATATTCAATGTAATTTTTCTTTTTAGAAATATTGTTAAAACCGATTTCTTGAGATTTCCAATAAAGATGTGATATTTCACTCTACGGTTTGATGTCAATCTTTGGAGACTTAACCAAATCCTGTGATATGGAAATTGGATATCTTGATCGAAAATGTCAGAGAAGAGTAAGGAATTCTCAAAGCAGTTGATGACTTTGAAGATCCTCTAATCCGAAACACTATATAATAACCGGATGTCTCGCAAACAACCCGCTGAAGGCTAAGTCATCCAGATTGGAAGACTAGCGCGGATGTAACACCCTAATCCGTTCAGGTCTGCAGCCTCTTTTGGACTAAAGTATTAACTTGGAAATCGTAAAAATTTAAAAGTTTTCAAACACTTTTATTTATCACAATAATACTTTTTTCATAACATATACAGTACGGGGTATTTAACAATATTGCGGAAGCGAATTAAAAATTGACATATCATAATTCATTTCAAAACTTGTCACATCCATCCCGACAATCTCGCCTCATCTGCCACCAGGATCACATTGTTCTTTCTGTTTACCTGCGTGTAGCAATTAAAACATACTACACGCTCAGCGGTAAAGCTGAGTAAGCATATCTAATGCGTCGAACATCCATATAAACTGAATCTAAATTCATAATCAAATCATTTGATATCATGCACACAATGTTCACTTCAGACATTCACAGTTTTGATATTATTCAGTTCTTATCAACATATTTTATTCAATTCAGTTATTATTTCGATAGTGCTCTTAAATCGTTCTTAATCTAAGGCCAAATCATAACAATGCTCTTAACTATTCTTAGTCTAAGGCCAGATCATAACAACGCTCTTAGCTATTCTTAGTCTAAGGC